TCTCTCTCTCTCTCTCTCTCTCTCTCTCTCTCTCTCTCTCTCTCTCTCTCTTCCTTCCATTTCAATTCTAGGCACATTCAAAGCAATAATCAGCCTCCACAGCCCCCTGTTCCACCATTAGGTTATGTGTCCGGAGCCTTGATTTCTGATTTGGAAACAGATGTTCCTGATGATGAGGAGGAAGAGGAGGAGGAAGCTGTAGAAATCCCCAGGCCCCTGAGAGCACTAGACCAGACACCAGGATCTAGCATGGACAATCTAGACAGCTCTATGACAGGTAATGGAACTGATTTAGTAGGAATGACTGAGCTATTTGCAACATTAAAATGCATCAAATATCAAATACTTTCTTATATAAGATTTATTCCCCTCCATCTATTTCTGTAGCATTTTAAATATGTTAATGTTAAACACAAAATTCAAAAAGGATTTGGAAATACTTTCGCTTTGCTGCAAAAATGATAAGAAAATTCATGAATTTTAAAGAGCTTTAAAGACATGAAAGAAAACTCAATTATATCCCATGCTTTTATGAAAAGTTCACTCTGCTAGAGAACCAAGTCTATTACATAAAAAAAAACCTTGACTTTTAGAAATGATATATTTTGTGTATCAGGAGCAACATATGCAGTGAATGCAATCTTAAAGTACTTCTTAATACTTCACTCTGCAAAATCATTCACTGATGAAAATAATCAAGTCTTCAGAATAAGCCTCTCTTTGGTTACACAAAGTAGTTATAGAGTAGAAAATGCACAGTGAGATAAAACATACGTTTACAGATTTCCTATTGGGGAATCCAGTCATTGCTCCTTTCCCAACAACTCTAATCATTTTGAGTGTTTACTTCTTGGGCTTCCATTGCCTCATTCACCAAGTGAAAATCTTCAATTGCTGCTGCCATTTTGATCCTAGGACTGATACAAGACCTATTTCCAAGGATTAAAATTAAAATTAAAATCCAAATGTTTACATAAAGTATATGAAGGAAAGTAAATATTCAGTGTTTCTATTCAACTAGCTATCATTTTTGACACACCAGAATGTCCATTACATGACTATGACGGCGTTCCTAATGCCACTGAAGTCTGGGCCCTGCATTGCATCAAATCCTCTCAGAAAACCATGCTATCTATATTTACTTTGTTTTTTTGAAATTTTGTTTAAATTTTTTCCCATATTTACTTTGAAGGCCTCTTTCCCTTTAGAATGTATTTTATCCCAGTCTTAATTCATTTTTATGCCCAGAGCTTCCCAAACCCCACAGATTTTGAGCTATATATTGCTTCTGCAAACACTCACGGAGACTGATGTAGGATCATAATGAAGAAGTGTCAGTAGCTGGCTTTCTTCTATGCTCCCTCCTAAATTATGCCACGTGCTATGTCGGAACCCAAGTTTTAGGTTTCTTCTCGCTGGTCTGCTTATCAGGCTAATTAAGATTCAAAAACTGCAATGTGAAACCCATTTCCACTGGAAGGTGCCAGAGCAAACATTCATATCTCTGAATATAGACACAAGACTTCTTAGTTCACTATTATTTTAAGCCTCTTTGCCTGAATTTCTAGCATAATATCCTTTGGGGTAAAATTCGGCATATTTTTCCATATTTCAACTAATGATACTCTTAGGAATGCAGGAAAATTAAAAGAATAAGGAAAATATTTAGCTCTAGCCTATTACTTCTTGTATTAAATATTATAAACACAAGTTGATAAATATATCTATATATAAAGAGAATGCCAATTTGCACTCTTACATGTTTACCTTTTAGGAGCATGTTAGGATGCCTAATGTGACCATGGTTAGGGCAGTCTGCATTTCTCCAGTAGCTAATAGAATGTTCATTCTACAAGAAGCTTTTATTACTAAAGAAAACAAAGTTTGTTTTCCTATCTGAATTCATTGCTTAATTATTGCCATATAGAAAAATCTTGAGGTGTTTACGAATGTATTCCAGAAGGAATTTGCCCTGTGAATAAAAACATCTCTTTAATAGAAATTGTCCTTGCTACTAAAACAACCAAATAAGACAGCCTACATTTATTGTATTTGCATGTAACTTTGAGAAGAAAGTTTGGTCAAAGATTTAATTGGATTTCCATATTGTGTATATGTGTCCAAGTGTATGTGGAAAGCACTAATGTGTGTAAGTACATGCGTGGATAGCAGATGTGAGTGCGTTAGAGAATGTGTGCCTATGTGGGGTGTAAACGTGTGTACGAACTCTAGTAGGTGGGCATAAGCACATGCGTATAAATATGTATAGAAGTATAGATGAGATGGTGAGTGTACATAGAGTGTTTGGGAATGTGGTGAAGCATATATAGGAGAGATTTGGTGTAGGGGAGAGGTGGAGAACCTGTGAAACCCGTACCAGGGTGGGCTCCTTGTATCATTGAAAAATACAAAGGCTTTGTCATCTCTGGTATAGGGACTGTGAGTGTATTCCTGTGTACATTTGTGTAGAGCATGTAAGTGTGTGAATAACTATGTGAGTGTGGATGAGATCATAAGTATATGTAGAAAGTACAGGGTGAGTGTGTGTGTGGTGTGTGTGTGTGTAGATGTAAGTGTGAGAGATCAATAAGGTGTGTGAATGTACTGGGAGGTGGTCCATGTGAACACATGGGCTAACTCCACGTGGATGTACATAGAGAAAAGGTTTCAGAAATTGATACACATTAGGAATATTGTCCTAAAATGTTTAAGTTTTCTTTGGACACTTAAGACTAGTTTAGTGATGATAAAATAAATACACAATAGAACGCACAGTAAGTACAGTGTTTCACTCGACTCTGATGTCTGTAAGATGGCGAACGCCTTCAGAGGACTCTGATCTTGCCATCAGTTATTTTGGATTCTAAACATGCTCATGGTGTAACTCAGTCATTATTTTCAATTAAAATCCCCCAATATTTTTATTTGCTTGAAACTAGTGACCGTTTTTAGAAAACTGATAGGTTCCTTTTCTTCGAACTCTGACGCCTGTCTGAGTGATAGCAGGAGGTCCCAGCATGTTGCACTAACAAGCCTTTCTGTACAGCTACACAGAAGTTTACCTGATATGTCACACCCAACAGCTGCCACAGCACTTAGCATGCTACAGAGCCTGTCTTTGTAAAGAAATGGACATTGTGACTCCAAATGTTTTCATAACAGCTAAGTATCTGGACAGAGTGGCACATGTCCAGAATTCCAGCATATGTGAGGCTGAGGTAAGAGGACTGCTGTGAGTATGAGCCCAGCGTTGGCTACATAGTAATTCAGTGGCAGCCCAAGTTCCTAGCTAAAATATCAAGCTAGGGTAAAACAACCAACCAAACAGAAAACAACCAAATAAATTGTGGGGGACTTACTAAAATTTGAAATGACTATTCATGGGCAGAAAAGGCCATACAAAAGAGGAGACTAACTGTAATTCCACATTTTAAGAACTCAGTAATGGGGGAAAACCTGCTCAGGCCCACCTCCTGTCCCTCTCTCGGACAGGAGCTTCCTTTCTGTCTATAAATATATTCTGCTTATTAAAAAAAAGAACTCAGTAATAAAGAGAACATATTTGCATTTATGCTCATTATATGTATTTCTTCGAACAACAAACACTGATCTTTACCACTTCTACTTACTTGGTTAGTGGCTTAGATTAAATAATCATCACAATGATAGTTATACAGGTAGCAAAACCATAGTCCTTAATAGACTTCCTAAGCAGTAGCCTGTGCTTTGCATGGCCCAGTGAACATTTTTAAAGGATTTTAAAGAAACAAGAAACAAACAACAACAACAAAAATAAACAAGAATGTATGACAGAGAATGCAAAGCCAAAAATACTTAGTATTTGACATTTATAGGAAAAGATTTGCTATGCCCATTCAAAAGTGTCAATGTATACTGATGGTTTAATGCTCAAAACCCTATTACTATTGCTCCATAAATGTCCATTTTTTTTCTAATCCCTGTAGTTACTACATCAGAAAGGAAAACAGTGTTTTGGTCTGTGCTGTCCTGTGCCTCTTCCTGAGTGTAGGTGTGTATGTGTGTGAGTGTATGTGATTGTGTGTGTGTGTGTGTGTGTGTGTGTGTGTGTGTGTGTGTAAGTGAACAGATACATATTTTTGTTTATTTTTTTCCTTGGGTTTACACTCCTCATGGGGAGTTGATACACATTGCACATCTTTACTCCATTTTGCATTTCTTTTACTTCCTTTATCTCCTTTGCCTACATCTCTTGAAGTCCTTTCTGTTAGAGAAAGATCTCTTTCCCTACAACCTATTATTTTTTACTTTATTCTTTATATATTGGCTTTGAGTGTGCTCAGATGTTTCTTTTCACTTAACATTATGGTTCAATAAATATCTTTTTTTTTTCTGCAACCAGGGATCGAACTCAGGACCTTGTGCTTGCCAGGCAGGCGCTTATGCCATTGAGCTATCTCCCCGGGCCCAATAAGTATCCTTTCCTGCATATGACCAAAGATTATCTTTTTTATGGCACAATAGTCCTCCATTCTGTGTAAATAACACTTTTTCTTCATCAGCTCATCTGTTGCTGAATATGTAGGTGTTTCCAAGATTCCACCTATTGGGTGATAAACATGGATTTAAAAGAATTAAATGAAATTTTATTGCTGGAAAGAGACCTCTACAACTATGCACTTAATTAAGATAAAAATTTAGTTCTTTAGAATTAACTTTGATTTTTTTCTTATATTTATTTCATGTTCATTTAGAGTAACCTAATAAAACTGGACACTACCAGTCCTTCTAGAGGCAAGCTTATTTTTATAACTGTGATTTTAATCTATGCCTATAATATACACCTATTTGGTTGCAATAAAGTGCTGAATTTTTATTTTAGATCTTTACAATGTGTTTTGATCTAGAATATAGCCACACAGAATTATGTGTCTTTTAAAAAAATATTTATTTATTTGGCACAGAATCTAGCTACGTATCTCAGACTCATAATGATCCTTCTGTCTCAGCCTCCTCAGTACTGGGATTACAGGTATGTGCCATCATGCCCAGTTTTGGAGGCCAGTACAGTGCACCTGGAATTCCAGGGCCGACATGACACGTGGTACGAGGGATCAAACCTGGGTCCTTGTGCTTTCCAGGCAGTTACTCAGACTGCTCAGCTACCTCCCAGCCCTCAGCCTTTAAAAATATATTTATCATATTTCTTCCTAAGTGTCAAAACAACCACTGTTGGGTAACGTGTGTGTGTGTGTGTGTGTGTGTGTGTGTGTGTGTGTTCCATGGTGGAAGTTGAGA